GTTTTCGGGCTGGGAGCGATCCGAACCCCATGGTCCCCGTTCTCCTCCCCGAGCCGCTCCGAGGCCCAGTGCCAGGGCAGGGAGGGCCGGGCAGGCGCTGCAGGGGAGCCGAAGGGCCTCGTGGCGCAGGGGAGGGCGCGTGGGGACCGGCCAGCCATTGAAATTCCCGGCTGCATCTGCTCCGCTCGCCCCGCCGGCGCGGCGGAGAGAATGGGGGGCAGTTTCGCCAGGGCCCTTTCTTTGTTAGGAACTTTGATCCTCTCCCCCTCCTTCCTTTTTGTTTGTCGTTTAGCGTGGTTTTCAGCTGCCTCGGTTGTTTTAGGGTGTTTTGCCCGGTGAGAGGTTGGTCTTGTGGTACCGCGTGGAGCCTCCGTATGCCTTCCCCCTGCCGAGCTGAAAGGCTCTGCTGTGAGTCATGGGTTAAATGACACAAACTCGTCTGAAGCCTAATTTAGGGTTATACGAAACTCTGCAGGAAAAGGGCCGGTGTCCTGACAGGACAGCCTTCTCTCCAGGCTTGGTGTCTCCTGGCAAGCAGCGCTTAATAGACAGTGTCTGCCCAACTTGTTGCTTCATTGTTTTCTGATTCTTCCTACCCTAACGAGGGCTGTTGGCCCGATTCTGCGGGAAAACCTTGTGCTTTTGAGACTCCTCTTTGTTTGCAAGCTAGATAGCAGCAGCCTCCGGGGTTATTTATGGAAATGCTTGATATGAGAATTGGCTTTGCAGTCTCAAGGTAAAAGATCTGCGTGACTTTGTAAAGCTGCAGCTGGCCGCTGCCTTGAGCTTCTTCATTATGTGCTCTGGGAAGAGCAGGCTTGGCCGTGCTGGGTCACCCCGTCGTTTCTTTGTTGCTGTTACCGAGTTTCTGCTGGGTTTGCCTTTTGTGGCGGAGGGAGCGAGCTGTGGCTGTCGGGCAGCGCTGACTAATGGAGCAAAGGTGGCCGTGGAGGTGCGATGGACGGACAGACCCAGTCCTCAGGTCTCGTGGGTCCTTCTCTGTCCTCCCCCTGCTTCGGGGCGCCGCTA